TAAAATTATCTGTAAGTCAAATTAATTACTTTTTTTGTAAAATATATACATAAATAAATACAATAACAGTTTATTCAATTTTTTAATGCTTACTTTACAAAAGGGTCGTTAGACATCTTGGTGACATTATAGGGGGTCGCGAACTCAAAAAGGTTGAGAACCGCTGGTGTAGACCATACTCTACAGACCATAATTATTATTATGGATAATATTAAAATGCGCATAATACACACACTACCTATACAAACAGGCACAATTAAGTATATATTATATAATAATGACATTTTGATTAGCTCACATATAAGTTATAACTAATGTGAATGTCATGTATATTATATTCTTTTGTGTTCAATTCGAAATTTCTTAATATAGGTAATATAAATGAATGCGGATTTCCCGAAGTGGTATTTTAATATAACGATATATAGTTATATTAATAAATCCATATTGATTAAGACTATTATAGTTAAGTACCTACTACCTAGGAATATGATATATTGTTTTTATGAGTGTGCTGTGTGTATAAATTCAATATAGTATATACCTATATTAGTGCACACTGCACACTGTTTATTATTAAATACGTATATCATATACTATAGTTTTGAAATTGTTGATAAATATAAAAATAATATCCATTCTACGAAAACAATAACAAAATATTAATACATATCTATATTCTTAATAATATCAAATGGTCACAGTACCCATGATAGACGACTAGACGAGTGACGACAGTGTGAGTATCAGTCATCAGAGTATGCCGATTGCCGAGCGTGGTGTGTGACGAAGCTGGTTAACATTCATTTTTGTTTAGAATTGTGTTTACTGTTTAGTTTCCTAATATTTGATTTGATTTATAATTTTAACATAATGGACAAATTCATTAATCGAAGCACAAAAAAACAAAACAATGTGAGTGAAGACGATCCTGCAGTATACAGTTCGGAAACAATAGAAAAATCAAAATGTTACATATTTAATGGCAAGTTTTTTAAAATAATAAATGTAGAAGACAATGATAAAAATAAAATATTTGCACAGTGCCAAAATTGTCCTAAAATCGTGCATGGTCATAAAGGATCAACTGGAAATTTTTTAAGTCACATTAAGGTAGGTACCTATTTAAATAATAATAATTAATTATCATCGGGGCCTAAAATATATAAAATTTCAAGGTACATAGTTATAATACACTTTTAATTCAATTAATATTGTTTACAGATTTCGATAGGTAGATACTTATAAGTTAAAACACCTGTGTTAGGCTCTGTCAATAATTATTTTCCCCGAATGACTTGAATGTCTTGATTTTTTTAACCAAGGTTTACTAATAACTATATATATATATATATATATATATATATATATACCTACTGCCTTCCTAAAGAGAAAGGCAGTATCTCCAAAAACTAAAATATTGGGAAAATGAGTTTTTAGACTTCTTAATTTTACCTTAAAATAATCAGATTTCATTACTTTTTTTCACATTATATGTGAAATCAGCACAATGTGTATTATTATTATTATTTTTTTTTGTACTTGATTGATTATTTTGACCTTTTTATTGACTTTTTAGGAGCATTTTACTTTAGTATGACAATTCCTACATAACTACACAGTTAAATTTTTCAAATGCAGTATCTCTATTACCCTATTTTTAATTTTGTTGTTAATACATTGAATGTTTATGGCTTATTAATATATTTAGTATAATGTATAGTATTATTTGAGCATTACATTTTTTTTCTATTGATAATGGATTATACTTGTAATATGAAAAAAAAATTACTGAATAATATTACTTTTTAAATATGTTAATAATCCATTAACTACCATAGAATTTAGTTATTTATATTAGCAATTAAAATAATATTGAATTAGGCAACAGCCATATTGATATTTTAATCAAAACAAAATTGTTAGGCTGAAATGGTTAAGCAACATAAAACATAATAAAATAAAGTACTCCTATGTATTTTAATAATTAAAAAAATGTTGAAATTATACCACATTACATTATTTAAATAATTGAATATCAAAAATAAATGTAAACATAATTATAATTTTGTAATAGAAATAACATATGATTAAAATAGTCAATAGGTAAATTTTCTTACTTGTTTAAGTTAACAGGATTGACAAAAATTATGTTTTCAATGACATTCAATAAAAAATTAAAAACAATAATCACTTAAAATTAATTGGGTGCTACCGTTTTCCAGCAAAATGAACCTTTCTCTTTTCCACCAATACACGTTTCCACTAAATATGTCCCTTGTCGTTTTCCACCAATACACGTTTCCACCAAATTATTTATTATACAGTTTTATATAATTTTTATTAAGGAATATTAACGGTGTCATGAGTAGAAACGGTTGATCAATATATTAACTCGTATAATAGAATATGTATACATATTATGAATCATGATGTTCCATATAAGATATAAGTTTAATTATTTTGGTACACATTTTATATAGACAATATTTTAAAGTTAAGTAGCTTGTTTTATATTATAAAAAATGTTCTATATTATAATTAATCTTTATTTTATTATTTAATAATCAATCTGTTATCAATATCAACGTATTGAGTGTTTGTTTTAATAATTTAATTTTAAAATAATTTTAATTTAATTTGTTCACTCTTTTCTATACATAATTTTATTTTATGCATACTTTTTTAAAAATCAATTAATCAACTATGGGCTAGGAATCTACCTAGTTTCTACCCAACGTTTATTGGTGGAAAATGACAAGGAACACTTTTGGTGGAAAAGAAATAGGTTCATTTTGGTGGAAAAGGGTACCGCCCATTAAATTGTATGAAATAAAATAATGTGAAGTAAATTTTTATAGATACAAAAAACATGGAAAACATTTTTAAAATGTAAAATTAATAGCACTTACTGCAAGACATTTTAGATAGGTATGATACTAGGTAGGTAATGTAGTATGTGTTAAGGGAAATCAAAATACTTAGAACAAACGTAGCATAACCATAGCGTTAACCGCTTTTTTATCTAGAATATGTTACATACTGCATTATTTCAGTTTTGAATAATATTTTGAAATAAATTGGGAAATTCTACATTTTAAAATCACTTTTTATGCCATTTAAAATGATTTTTACTGCATTTTGCCTTAATTAAAAATATGTGTAATTTTCTATTTAATAGGAATATCAAATAATCTAATTTTTCAAAATTTGACATTTACTGCCTTTCTCTTTACGAGGGTAGTAACTATATACCTAATTGGTTATAATATTTATACTCGTATAATATTTTGATAATTTTTATTCAAATAGACATATTTATTTGAATAATTATTTAGATATAATTATATCCAACTCTGCCTATTATATAATATGTATTATTATAAATGTATTGTTGTAGTTTAAACATTCACATTTGATGGAAAAAGTCAAAGCAGCTAAAACTGTTAAGAAAAACGCACATTCCATAAAAATACAAGAAAATCTGTCGTTCTTGCATACAAATAAAATATCAAAACAAAAAGTGAGTATTTATTTTATAAATATGATTTATACTTTACTATTTTATTTTACTTAATGATAAATTGTGTACCTTTATAATCGGTAGTTTCATAATTTTATTAATATTAATGGATATTTTAATTTATACATTCTTATACAGAGACACAGAATAGTTTGAAATAGAAATTGTTTAAATATTATTTATTTTTAATAATACTATGACAAAAGATTTTTAAATATTAAAAAAAAATATATATATATTCTCATAGTAAGTAATTTAATATTTCATTTTTCAGATTACTGACTTAACCTTTGCATACATTGTGGAAGAGATGAGACCATTAGTGACATGCGAAAAATCAGCATTGAAACGTCTTATAAAAGGTTTATGTGGCCTTAGCGATACAACTTCATTACCAGATCATAGAGTCATGTCTAAAGAGTTAAATAATAAGTACACATCATATATAACTATTTTAACTGATTTAATAGCCAAACAAAATTTTATATGTACAACGGCAGATATTTGGTCTTGCAGTAACAAAAGTTACTTAGGTATGACTTGTCACTTTATTGATGAGCATACCTATATTAGATATTCGTATGTTCTCGGTTGTAGAAGAATTAAAGGTAGTCACACATTTTTTAATATAACAGAAATAATGAATGAAATAACTCAAACATATAATATTCAGAACTCTAAAATATCACATACAGTAACAGATAACGCTAGCAATTTTGGTAAGGCATTCAGAACATATTCGTTCAAATCTATTGGTATAGAGTTTTCGAATATTGATAATGATAACTGGTTTGGTGATGAATCTATATGTGATGATTCTAATACTGGGGTAGAAATTGATAATTCTAGTACAGATTTTGATACTGTAGATTTCTCCACATTGTTTTTGAATTCTGAAGATATGGAAAGTGATGATATATGCTTACCAGACCATATTACATGTTCAGCACATACCCTTAGCTTGATTGCAACTATTGATGTAGATAAAATTTCTGATAAGTCTTATAAAATAACTTCTAAAAATGCTTTTATTAAATTATGTAGTTTCTGGAATCTTTTAAGTCGAAGTACAGTGGCTTCAGACAAGGTATATGATATCTGCAATTGCAAATTTCCTGTACCTATTGTAACAAGGTGGAATTCTTCATTTAATGCTGTAAAAAAAGTAATTGCACATAAAGAAACAGTAAAATCTTCATTTACTGAATTAAAACTTCAACAACTAACAAAAAAAGATTGGCTATTTTTAGAAGAATACTGTTTGGTTATGGAACCGCTTGCCATTTCACTTGATAAATTACAAGCTGAAAAATCTTGTTTTCTAGGATATGTCGCACCTACTATAATATCGTTAAGACTTTTATTAATTCAACAGACAAATTTAATATATTGCAGACCTTTAGCATTATCAATTATTAAAAGCCTTGAAATAAGATTTAATTTTATATTTGATTTAGAAAACATTAAAAGTAAACCATATATCATTGCTTCAATATCTCATCCTAGGTTTAAACTTTCATGGATACCTAGTCAATATTTAACTTACTGTAAAAATGTATTTTTGTCTGAATGCACTTTGATGAACTCATTAACCAATTCTGATTTTAATTCCATTGAAAATGATTCTGCTGGCAGTGATGAAGAATTTTATGGTATTTTAACTCAAAGTAAATATTCCTGTGATTGTTCGGCTGCCGACAGTGTACAATTAAATGTAGATAATACTAATACAGCAACTGTACAAGCACTATCTTATTTAGATTCCAAAAATAAAGACCTGAACATGTTAAACACATTTGCAGTAGTCAAAAAAGTCTTTTTTAAGTATAATACCACTCTCCCATCTTCTGCACCAGTAGAAAGACTATTTAGTTCTGGATCTCAAATATTAACCCCAAGAAGAAACAGGCTTCAAGATAAGACTTTTGAAATGTTACTGTGTTGTAGGTGCTTAATGAAAGAATTTAATAATGTTATTATGTAATATACTTAATTTTTTTTTTTATATTTTCTTAAGTTTGTTTTTGTTTTTCAATATTTTATTATCATATGTATTTACTATATAGTATTATTTAAATCTAATGTATTATTTTATAAATTTATAATATTTCTACAAAGATAATGTTCTTTATTAAAACTAAATACTTATTAGTTTTCCCTACATAAATATAGATTAAGTCTTTTTTTCATTTTATACTGGAGGTTCAGTGTTTTTTTCAATATTTTATTGTGATGCGTATTTACTATGTTATATAATTTATCTATAAACCATTACTTGTACAATAAATTACATTTTTTATGTTTAATAATTAATGGCTATTATTTTAAAAGTTGTATTACTGCAATATATGTTTAGTAATATTATTTTAATTGTACCTATTCGTATTATTTTTAAGAACTGTTTACATATTTAATGTTGAAAAGAGTACAGCAGACATTTTTAAGGTATACAAGCTATAAATTTGGTATCATTTTCCCACCCCACAACTATGAGCTTGTTGCAACCCAGCTTGGTCTAGTATCCCTGTCTGAGCACAGCTGGTGTTAAATTTTTCAGTTTGATACAAATTAATATTGATTCCCCCTCTTTGTTGTCATTAATATACTTTAAAGTGTCTCAACGCTCTTCCTGTTTCTACTGCTCCTATCTACGTTCCTTGTGCAACCACTAATTAATAATTATCTAATAAATGAGCCTTTGCCATGAACGATGAGCAACACCAATGCAGACACAATGTCTCTCGCTAATATTTTTATGTAATTATCTAGCACAAATCAAGTAAATTATATCTGTAAATAGCTTATATAAAAATACCTATGTAATATGTATTTACTGTTAAAAGGGTTCATCCCGTATATTTAATAAAAATTAAAAATAAAATAAAATATTTAATAAAGACTATTTAATTTATACTTTCTGGTGACTACAATATTTGATTCATAAGAAAGAGAATTAAATAATACAGATATTGGTTGAATTAACTTTTTAATATTTTAACCATAAATATTACTCCATAATAATTAGTATATAAATTATAATGAATTGTTTTATAAAATTATAATATTCTTACCTACAAAGAATATATTTTTTTTAACTAAGTACTTATTATGTATTACTTATTTCCCATTCATAAATGTACATAATATAAATATTTGTTGTTCATTGTTTATATTGGAGGTATCTATTAGATCAAAAATAAGTTCATTTTTATTTAATTAAATTTTTTAAATATTAATTTATAAAAAAAAGTGTAGATTTATTATGTAATAAAGTTTAAAAATAATTTATCTTTTTTTTTATACAGATAAATCTTCTTTTATCTTTTATCTTTATTTAGATAATTTAGATTTTAATTATCTTTTATCTTTATCTAGATAAATGTTGTCCAATTATCTTTTATCTTTATCTAGATAAATTTTTAGTTATCTTTGCGCAACACTGGTTGTTCCAGAGAGAGAGCCAAGTGTTGGTGGAGTGTTGTTTTAACAGAGGTATGAAGTTTGAATGTGGGAGTAGGGAAAAAGAAGGAAAGATGAGATTGGATGAAGATTTAGCGAGATGGTCTGCAACTTCATTACCATGTATACCTGTGTGACTAGGAAATTACTTACCAACTTACAAAATGGATGTTCTGTTAGGTAGTCGGTTGTCCGATTGTGTCGTGTCGTACTGAGTCGTAGTAATAGAGTAGTAATAAAGTCATAGAAATGCAGACTGATGGCCAGTATAAATATAATAAATGTGTTTAGTGTAATAGTGTGAACCTAAGTGTGTTCGCGTATAGCGTGTTTTGGCTGACGAGTAGTGCTCTGCACGATCCGGTTTGTATCAGTCCGGTCCGGATCGGATTAAACCATGGTCCGGTTTGGTACGGTCTTATCGTATAAAAATAGGCGAAGTATCGGTTCGGTCCAAATCAATATTTTTTTGAATGACTTTGGTCCGGTCCTGGTTTAAACTATAATAATTTCGGTTCGGTCCGATTTCTAAAATATAATCAGATCGGTCATTCCGGTCCGGACCGATGGGTCCCGATTAGTTTAAAATGTACGGCTAATATTAAGGATTATTTCAAATCTAATATCTATTAAACAATGATTTAAAATTATAAAGACATTATTTATAGAATTAATAACACGAATATTATCATTATAGCCCATGGTAATCAATATTTTACCCCAGCACCGTTGTTTTATATAAATTGTATGTACTATCATGTATATTGTATAAATCTCAAAGCTGTTCATGGTATCTATCTCGTTATGGTACGGGTAACATGGAATATTGTGGAAGTGTCACGCCGCGTCCAAATATATAAATGTATACAACTGCCAATGAAATACTCGCACATTATGATCTTGATTTATATTAATTATAATTTATCTACACATTATTTTGAGGAAATGGTGAATGGAAATGAAATGTGCACTTCTGATTTTAATCCATTCTCGTTGATGATGCCGGTAAGCGATAATACTTGGAAAATAGTCTATTAGCCATGCCAGAAAGCAAATAGTTCGATATTTCCACGTACAATTCTTTGTAAAAATAATTAATACTTAATAATGAGATAAACACGAGTATAGTATAGTGTAGTACCTATATATATATATATATATACCTATTATATCTATACTAAAATATAAATTTACTATAGTCTATTTTCATGGTGAAATATTTTTTTAGCTAGGATCGTTTGTTCGCTCTATCATATTATGTTATACTTGAGGTCAGTGGCGTATTTAGGAATTTTTCATTGGGAGGGTCCAGATAATTTTCAGAATACAAAGCCGTGGGGGGTTTTGCCCCCATACCCCCCCCCAATTACTCTTTATTACATAAATATACCATATTTATAATACAATTTACAATTTAGTTGTAACTTTCTCATTTTTGTTCACATTTTCATTCTTTATATATTTAAATGTCAAATACCGCCAAGCAAATTTCATAAGGCACCCAGTAGCATAAATACCATAGTCCATCCAAATTCCACATATTATATAGTATACAATATAAAACATAAGTAGAAGCATTTAGCAAATTATACAACTATGGTCTATGAGGAAAGCAAGCTTAACAACTATAGATTTCAATTATATAATCAAGATAATAATAAATTCAGATTTTAAACAGTAACATACCTGAGAATTTAATTTCTTATTCAAACTTTGCTCACCGTCTTCGTCGATAGACCTTTTCATATTTAAAGTCTCGGCAGTCTCGCTAGGGGTCTCACTACTACAAGTGGACTCTGTAGACCGAATCGCAGTGAAAAAAATGTTATTTTAGGTGTGTTGTTCATTTTGAATTTTTGAAAGATTAATTAAACAAAAAACAACACAGCGAAGTTTCGAATTTGAACGGTTTTGAAGATCATGTAATGCATAATCATAAATAAGAAAAACCGTCCGTGATCATTGTTATCTACCGGCTACCGCTATCATTTAATTAAATTTGATAAAAGCAGAGCGTTTATTTAATAACCAAGAACTCAGTATTTTTCAACCATGTTTGGTTCCAAACTGATAACGAAAAATCGTGATAACAATTGAAAATGTTGATAATACTGACGCTTCGAAATTTTTTTACAAAATTGTTCATATCGACATATGTCATATCCTATGATATAATTTGTTTTTATTAAACATATAAAATCACAAACATTTACATGTACGAGACACGAGTCAATGGTGGGGGGGGGTCCGGACCCCTTGGACCCCCCGTAAATACGCCACTGCTTGAGGTCTTGTATGGTAGACAAAAAAAATAGATCCGCGGTCTGGTTTGGTGCAGTCCATAAGCTTTTACAGTCCGAAATTTATTAGTTCGGGCTAGTGGTCCGGTCTCGGTTCACTCTAACAAATTATTTTTAATTTTCTGTCCGGTCCGGTCTAAAATTAAATGTAGAAATTGGTTCAGTTCGACTTCGGTCCTTTTTTAACATTTTCAGTCCGGTCCGGTCCCTAAAATTACGGACCGTGCAGAGCACTACTGACGAGTAATGGGACTATGGGAGCCGCATTTGTCGGCTTAGGCTGGGATTTACCAAAATAAATGTTTATTGAAATATGCCATAGATACAAATAAACTGATTGCATAACGATTAACGATAATTCAATTCCGTTACAACGTACAATATTTAATATGAAATCACAATAATAACAGAAGAAAAATAATTTTCAAATGCAAAAAATACTGAACATAGTACATATATTAAACTTATAATAAAATTAGGTAATTGAATAGTTAAATATATTTTTTTAAGTAAGATATTTTTGAATTCTCCCTAAGTACTATATTGGTAGAACAATATTTTAATTTAAAAAATTTATCAAAGTTTAGCCCCCATTTCATAATATAAGGTAAAGGTGCAAAGCGCGGGGCCTGGTGCCGGGGTACACCTCGCCCCCCCTTAAGCCGGCCCTGGTTGTTACTTATATTAAATAAACAAAATCTTGTATTTTTTAATTAAAACTTCAAGTTTAATATGCATATTACATTATATTTTAATATTAAATAATATTTTTCATGCCCTAAAAAATGCTTAAAAAAGCATGTATTTATGTACTTAAAAAAGGCAAAATATTCTTTGAAATATGCCTTAAAAAGTTAAAATATATGCATTTACATGCATTAAATATCTAAAATTATACACTTAAAAATGCTTACTTCAAAAAATCATTAATAATTTTTGAAATAACATAAATTATCCTTTTATTTTTTTATAACTATATTTTACTTTTTTATGTTGTTGCGGACATACATAAATGTAGGTCCTCACGACTCATAATACATGGATGGTCCCACGTAGATTAAAAATAATAGAAATCGGGAAATGATTATTATTAATATAATATTCGTATTCGTAAAGAGAAAGGAATGATCAAGAACCGAGGGTAGCACGAATATGAGCTGTCAGACTACATTTCAAAGAATTATAAAAAGCAATTAATAAAAGCGCATAACAAAATATGAGAGATGTTCGAATAGTAATATTACCGAGGTCAACCATTTTAATTACAATTTAACATCTCCAGGTAGTAACAGTAATTGGAAATAATGTATTACATAGAAATGCGCGGCCAATTCCCACGAGACCTAAGTATATAAGGGGGTGGGAACAGACCAATATTCAGATGTGGTTTACAGGTATAATCGCAAGCACCTTCACGCCAGATCATTTCTTAATTAATGTTTTTGTACTTAGAAAAATTCTTAAATAAACAGTTAAATTATATTTGAGTATTTTTTTTTTGGAGTATTATCCTAAAAAACTTAACCATCGTTACGATTGAAAGACGGCACGCAACAATGTCACAATTAAAAAAAAAAAATAGATTTTAAATACTATTCATGAGCCTTTATGAACTACATATAATGTACGCCTTTGTCAGTAATTCATTTTAAATCTAGAACTTTTGAAACTAATTTATTCATTAAATGTACAAGTATCAAAAGATAAGAAAAAAAAAAAAAATTCAATTTTTATTTTTAATTTTATTTATATTTTCCATTTCGATTTTTGATAGATTCTAATAGAATGTTGTATAATATGCCCAGTGACGTAGATACAATTTTTTTCTAGAGGGGATGTGTTTAAAAGTAAGTTTTTAAGTGTTCTTAGTTTATCTTAAAACGAGGTCATATGTAATAATATAACATTTAAAATGGTATTATTATTATGTCTATTATGTCCCGTATTTAATGAAAATTATTTTGTTACTAAATTTTTAATATATACCTAATCATGGTAAAATCAAAATATTTTACTATAATATGTAAATATTAATAAATAATTATCAAATATCATTAAAAAAAGAATCTGTGGGGGGGGGAGGGTGGAAACCCCTTACACCCTCTTCATAACCCCCCACTAAATATGCCCAATAAAATAGAAATATGAATAAATATGCCAAATATGCGAAAACATGCAAGATAAGATTTCACATATTTAACCGTTGTACCTTGAAATGGATTTCTATGTCATTTATCATTAAATACAACTTTGCAAGATTGATATGCAAATGCATGAACTTACAAGCCCTGGTTTTAACTTTATAGTTTATTATACATACTTAATGTGATTTTGTTGTTTTTAAGCCTAAGATAACAAATGTTTAAGTGATTTTTTTTCTATTGTTATAATTTAACTAGCTGACCCGGCAATGCTTCGCTATTGCAAGATTTCTCAGATATTAAATTGCTATTTATTTTCTGGATGTTAAATAATTATTTTTATTTTAGACCACTTTTAGTCACGTCTTCGTGGTAATGTAGCCATATAAATTTAGCGTTGCCACCGCGGATTCTTCATGTTTAAAAAAAATAATTTTTTATGTAGTGGTAAATTGTATATGTATGTAAATTGTGTATGACATTTTGTAGGTATAACTATGGATGGAACAAAAGATGAATTATGCCAGTATTTTGATAATTATTCAAAGACTTAAAAAATTTCTTTGTAAACAACGTTATCAACTTTTTCTGGGTCAGGGGCAAAAATATACAAATTAAATTTGGATGTCACACGTGACAGGGCGACGTATAGTTGACCGTGAAAAAAACATTGAACGCTTAGGTCAATTCCAACAACGTTAAGTGTTTGACCCTGTGCTTTATTTATAGTCATTGCAAATGCTAATTTAATGGGTAATTGAATACGTTTAAACTTAAAAGGTAAATCTGATGGTATAATTGGTATTCTTGGTATTAAAACAGTTTTTCCATTACCACAGCCTGTTAATATTATGCACTCGAGTAATGAACTTCTCAATTTTTTTATTTGTAGTCTTGTACCGTTGCAAAGTGTGGGTGGGCTCAAATTTCTCATTAAAATAATGGGTGCCCCTATTTTTAAAATCAGTGTATGTGGTGGGACTCCAGAAGGCGTTAAAGAGTTAAGAAATTCAGTTGGGAAATGGACTGCATCCTTTTTTTTCTAAAACTGTATCAACTGAATAGTACATTTGTGATTGAGCGTAAAACCTAGATAGAATCAAATCATTTAATTTGTCGACTTGCTCATTTGTTGGTGACAAAATAGCCCTTTCTTGAAACTATTTCAATGATTTAGATGATATATTTTGAATGTTCGGGTACACGTTTTGAATCAATTTTGTTATAGTGGGTACTGAATTACAGAAACTTTTAATATTTATTTTATCATTCGTTGCTTGAAATTCTCCTTTGCCTATTAAAAGTAAATCTTTGACAAAATTTATATTATCTTGATATGTACATAGATAGCACTCTCATATTAGTTTTAAGTTCTAATATTTTTATATTAGGCCATAAATAGGATCTTTTCAAAGACGCGTTGACTTCATTAGCTCTTGTCCCTCTTGTAACCACAGGCAAGATCTGACGGAAGTCTCCAGAGAACAACACTGTGCAGCCACCCATAGGACTATTATTATGATGCAAGTCTCGCATCGTTCTATCTAAAACTTCAACTGAAGTTTTTTAGGACATTGACGCTTTGTTCCAAATAATTAGACTACAGTCCTTCATCAATTTACCAGTACCACTTTGCTTTGAAACGTTACAGACACTCGTAGTAATGTCACTATCATATTTCAAAGGAAGTTTAAATGTAGAATGAGCTGTTCAGCCCCCTACTAATAGCATAGCTGCAATGCCAGATGACGCTACCGCAAGAGCAATTTTTCCACCATATCTTACTTTTGCAAGAAGTAAATTTATCAAAAAAGTTTTTCCCGTGCCCCCAGGAGCATCTAAAAATAATATTTTGCCTTCATTATTGTTAACAGACGACATCACTGATTCATGTACAATTCTTTGTTCACGGTTTAATTGATTTTAATTTTGAATGGACAGTAACAGTTGCTGTTGATCATAATTTCTCATAACCTAACCTAACCTCATAATTAAACACTCAATATTAATTGTTGTTCTATTTATGTTTATCGGTAAAGGAAAACCAAAATGTACTATAGATTTTCCTGATAAAACTTCCACTTCTTTGTTTAATTCAAATAAAGTAATAACGTAATAAAATAATGTAATAACGAATATCGCGTGTGAATTGTTTATGTTTTGTGTGACTTCCATTAAGAAGTGAATTCAATGGTTCTGGTGGTATAATTATATCATCTAATTTTACTTTGCCATTAGAGCAACATAAGGTTTTGCATTCGTCTTTCCATCTCAGAGCAGAACAAAACTGGCAAACTATTGTAGGATTTCCTATAAAAACTGATGGGTTATTTTTGTAATCCACCGTTAACTCATAGTTCATAGCAGAATAATCTTTTCTCGGCCATGAACCTCTGTCGTTAACAACATCATCATTATTTGACTGTCGTTCTCTACGTTCTACACACATTTTTTTGGCATCATTCTGAGATCGACCAATGTTTAACATTCGTCTAGGCATTTTAAATAGAAAGTAGTACAATCAATTACGGCTTTAAATGATTAAACCAGCCAACAATTAACAGTTAATAAAATAACAATCAAAATCGATAAAAGACGTGTTCTACCGAAAACGATAGAAAACTGTAACACAGTCCATACAATGATAATAATATCAGCGTACGGCGATTTTAAAATAAATACTAATATTTAGAATGAATTGAATGAAGTCGCTTTTAAAATATAAAAAACAACAGCAGTCTCATTGCCTTGGTTATTAGCATTATACATTTGAATTATTAAGATATTAATACGAATATTGGATATACATGTTATTGGTGTACGTGTGATAAACTTCTCGGAACACCGCCGATATCAAACATTGAACGAGTTTCAGAACAAGTGTTTTTTCAATGAAATTACAACTGGTGCCAAGACGATTTGAAAAATGTTACTGAAGATGCTTATGCACAGGTAATTCATTTACATGTAAAAACTATAGAATAATATCATAAGTATTATTGATATAATTAACTAGGTCATTCTATAAAGTGTATAAAATGTTGATGTTTTAGATTGCACATTTTGATATGAACAAACGAGTTGGTAATGTTAGCTTTGATTTACCTCATCCTGGAAAAATAACTTTTGAGAAACCATACTCAGAAACAACTACTCATTTGATTGATACAGAAGTAAAATTACTGGTTTCAAAAACTTACGGTCATACAATGGAAGGAATTAGTTAAAAAACATAAAAGTGACATTGAAAAGGTAATTACAATTATCTAATATTTTGTTGATTTATTTTTTCTTTCAATGTTCAATGTTTTGTGTATGTAAATTTACATATTACTGAATAAAGAGTATACTTTACCTTACCATATACCTTTTTAAAATGTATGCATTAGTTGTATTAATGGTTTTATTATTATTTACTTACTATTTCAAATGATTTTCAATGTTTTTTTTTATTTTTTCAAATTTTAATTTGATAATCATTAGTTACCTAATATATCTCTTATTTGAATTAGAATTCGAAAACTAAAGTTGTAAGCTTCCAAGTTATATCATATGAAGTCTTAAAAATCCAATACAAAGTTCCTCATACATATATATTATTAATTAAAAAAAAAAAAATGAGCTTTATAAAAAAAACATTAAATAGCGTTTAAATATCAAATTTTAACAAAATAATAAAAAATCACGAATATTACTTTATATATTCGGCATGTAGTTATATTAAAATATTACAGTAAATATAATTGAGAGCAACGATTGAGTAAAGGGTATAAAATTGTTTTGCAACCATTGTTTGAGACATGTTCAACTATTCGATTGTGCCATTTCGTCGCCGCCCTGTTATAACAAGTATGGATTGAAGTTTTCCCGATAAGCCTCCGGGTTCTCGGTGAATCTTTCAAATGTTTCCTGGCGCAGCTCTTCGTCCGAAAGCTCAGTCAGCAGTCGACCGGAACCCCATGAGTCCGTGTGCGTGCTATAACAACGATCAGTTTTTCTCACGGATCCGTGAATCTGAATGGAAAAACAATACCAAACAAAATATCTATGGAAAACGCTAGACTTTGGAACTACTAAGTTTTTTCGACCGCGACTACAGTATGGTGAAGTACCTTTGGACCGATTTTATTATAAAATTTATAGTATACTAATTAATAGTATACTCGTATATAATATAGAACTAGAAATTTTGTACTTATCTAATATATCTTATCCAAATCTATTTTAAGTTGTTAATGACTTTATGATATCCAAATTTAAATTATGCTTAACATTTTTTTAGAAAAATTAGTCCAAATGGGTACTACCCTTACGTTAGGCCGACCTTTGATTCTGACCTCGTCCCACAAGTAGCAATTAAAACCGTAGTTGACGTGACAGTACTGATGGTGGTTATCGTGAAACATGCAGTCCGGTTGCCAAGGCTGCCACCAGCGAGCTTTGAAAGTGATGCCTGAGTGCTGAACGATACCGTGATAGTATGTGTACAGTGCTAAGCCGTAAAACGGCACTGAAAATGTACAATTTGCATTATCTGCGGGTTTAAAACTTACGGAATATTCACATAGAGTAGAATACTATATCATAATAGTTACAAATAAATTTATATAATAAATATAAACTACTTATATTTTGTGATACTTTAACTGACATTATTTTATAAAGAGAAGTACTCGTATAAATGGAAATTTGAAAACCGTAATATTATTCCTTATTCCTTTTTAGTTTTCTGTTTATATTATAAAATGTAAAGTGGTATACAAAAATTTGAATTTTTTAGTAGACCACCTGAGACTATTTTTGATCTACTAGAACGGATGATAATAAACAAGAAATGTAGTGCTTTGTGACTACCTGTTAAATTGATCAAGAAAAATAAATAAAATGTTTTATCGATATAAGATTTAAAACTATATACATTGCTTCGCTTAGAATTTAAAGTATCCAATTTCTAAAATGTTGGTAACTATTAGGAAAACTTATTGTTGGAAATCATCCGTTTTAGAAAACAAAAAATTAATAATCGTGTTTGAATTTTATCATATTTGTTGTATTGATATGATTTTTTTTCAATACTGTTTGCAGCTTTATTATTTTTCGGAATTATTTTTAAGTTGCTGATAGTGGGATATTGCATGTATACTCACGCCAGTGTACGGGATAAATGAATATGGGCATAACCATGAACAATTGTACTAAAATTATCTCGAACGGATGTATCGCCGTCACTGACCATGGGGTGGGTTGAAAGTACCGGTGATGGATGCTGTGAAAGTGTTTGAACAGGAACCTGGAATGGAATGACCGATGGATCCAGTACGTAACGTAATCCTTCGAAAAGCAGATATTTTTTTACATTTCGCAAATTGTTTAGTATTTGCCACGACAGAAACTGTAGAATCATTATTGAAATTTGAATCGAAAACTTCGACCGTGATACATTAGCATACGGTTACCATTAATGTTTAACACCAACTACTATAAATGAAATTAAAATAAGTATATAATAGTGGCGGTTTTCCCGAAGAGGCAAAGGAGGCACCGCCTCCCTTGAAAATTTGATAAGGAAAAAGAAAAATAGTTTTTTCATTTGCTTAAAAAAATCTTCATTTTAAAAAATTTGTTTTTCTAACCAATCATTAAGTTTTTTTTTTAAATTTTTAAGTGACAAAATAATATTTAACGCACAATTAATATGAATACATTGTTGAAAAATAAGCATTTTAAATTAACATCTCTCCTCACGGTTCCCAAGCTATGCGCCCTCCAATTATTATTATTGTAACTGTTTAATAAGAGTGTTGGTGATGTATTAAATGGTAACTATATTATAATCAAAAATTTATATCTTTTGTACAATAATTATTAATTACTACTAAATATAAATGGTTAAAATTTAATTTAGGTTTAGCTGCTTGTGGTATAAACTGCAATTATCTATACGGGCAAGGGTATGATAGAGCCATGAATATGGCACGTAGAATTAAAGTTAGGTCATATTATTATTAATAGCACATATATTCGTTTTCGTCGTATTTTTTACGATCACAGCCACTTTATATTTATTTCCGTATTTATACGTTATTTCCAAAGATAAGATTACATACTCATATCATCCAATGCAATAAGGTAAAATATGAACTCAATTTTTGTTTTCACTTTTTATTAATGTGGGTATTTATACTTTATAGATTGAAGATAAAGAATGTTAAATGGCGACAAAGACGACAAAATATTTTAAAAGCTTTTTATACTTTTTTTAATACCGTATTAATTAATGATTATTTTTACATTTATAATACATTTCATATATTTTTACATAATTTTAAACAATATTTTAAGTGAATATTTAAGTACATATTTAAAAATAAATACATATTTTATAGCATATTACAGCATTTTTAGAAGCACACTTTGAGGATTGTTTTGTGAATATAAATCCGGTACCAACTCATAACAATAGAATTTATAATTACAAATTTGTTGATTATGGAGGTTCCGAACGATTTTTACGACGAGAAGATCGCAACAGCAATGTGAGATAGTTTTTCAGAACAGTTATCATAGCTAAAATGATTGATAGTTTCATTAACATCCTGTGTTTGTTATCACTAATATATGATATCAAATAGGTAAATATTATTTCTATATTACTACATTATTATATTATATTATAATATAGTATATATAATTATGTTATATGATATAACTGGTTTTTTCTATATACGACACTGAACTTAATGTTCTGGTCTTAAAACACAATAAAAAAATTGGGTTCAAAAAGAATTATAACTATTCCAGCATCCAAACTATGCCGCAACGAGAAGTGGGACTAGGGGTGATCAGCACTGTCAAGGGGCCTCAGCTTAGAAAAATTGAAGATTCAAAATGCATAGAATTTATTTTACTGTATACATTTGAGAGAATATCAAGACCAGTGGTAGAGTAGGTAACTATTTTTAATTATTTTCCAAATTATAGTTTTAACCCCCTTATATCCGAGAGGTCAATTTCCCCTTCTCTTTATCTGATGATACTGCAAAGACATAAGGTAAATTGAAAAATAACGAATATTCTAATTCACTGTAAATATAAATAGAGCTAATAACGTCAGAGTTGAAATTGTTTATCATATTTATAGATTTTATATTATATTTAGTGATAAAAACACAGGATGATAATGAAACTATCGTTAATTTCAGTCATGATAACTGCTCCGAAAAATTAGCTCACGTTGCTGTCGCGATCCTCTCGTTTTTTACGTTGGTAGTTATCAGTTATCACGTTTCGGAAACACCGACAAACACAAAACTTGATTATGAATATTTAACATCATGATAGCAGTGCTCGACTTGAGGGGGGATGCAGGGGGACGGAGTACCCTAACTAATTTTCAGAAATTTTAGCGTCTCCTTACTATTATTAAGCTATAATCATAACGCTCAGCCAGTTTTGGGGACGTCCTTTTTTTTAAAGTAAATAGAGTCCCCCTTCTTTAATTTTGCCAAGTCGAGCACTGCATGATAGTAATATATAACTCTGATATCAGTATATTACCAAATAATTAATATAAGTGATAACATAGTACCAGCATAAGTTTGGTACAGAAAAAATTGTTTAAGATTTCCCTATTTACCCTTGAAATAATTACGTCAAAAACTAAAGTTTGCTGCGGTGAACGGGGATTGCCCCATTCGCCCCCCTCTGGATCCGCCCCTGCTCACACACATATACAATCATTTGAACTGCGCATGCTCTTTGCCAGTTAGGCGGCGATAAATATTTTCGCCTTCTTACGATGGTATTCGCGATAATAAACAGATGTTTATGATTCATGGCGCACGGCATTCTTATCATAAAACTGCTTATTGTTAATCATATATATCTATGTTTTGAATTTTAATATAAATATCTATGTTGTAAATTATCAAAATATTATGTATATCATTATATGAAAGTTGATAATTAAGAATATGTAGTTTCCTATCATATTATTATTATTTGTATTGTATGCAGTTAATAAAATAATAATTATTAGTCCCTATGCAATTATTTATAAGTATATTTCTAGTACCTACTTTTTTTAGTGTTAGAATAAATTGAATGATTCTAGTCTCTACTTTTTTTGATTTTAGTTATTATTATACTATTTATACTACAAAAGTATAATGAATCCAATTTATGATTAGGTTTAATGTTTACTTGGAACTCCGTTCAGTTAGTGTTATACTCGTGATAAAACAGATATACTTAAGTAAGGTAAAACTACTCCATCTTTATCATGTTTAACTTCTGACAAAAAGGGTGGCAAAGTGATTTTTAGATCATTTAACGTAACTTGGTATAAACAACACTCTTGGTTAAGTGGCAGCTATTATTTAGAAAAATTATTTTGCTGGCCTTGTATAATATTTAGACATATAAAGTCTGTTTGGTCTACTGAAGGGCATTGTGATTTTAAAAATTTGCCTAGATGTGCACAAAGACATGAGTTGTCAAAGGAGCATATTCACTACAATTTTAACTTAAAAAACTTAGAAAAATAGTCTGTAACTATTGTTAATGCTTTTAGTGATTATGGAAAGTTATTTAAAAAGCATTATAATGAAAATGTGAGACCGAACAGATTATTTATGGAGTACCTTATTGAAATTGTTTTATTATTGGCTAAACAAGAATTAGCATTTTGTGGCCATGACAAAAGTAGCAGCTCTTTAAATAAAGGGAATTTTAAAGAACTATTCGATATGCTTTTTAGTAGGTGTTCATTAGAAATAAAAAACTACATAAAAGTATTCAAAATAAGTTTTCTGGTTTATCAAAAACAATTCAGAATGACTTAATTACATATATTTCTGAATACATATTCAGTTATATCAAACAAGAAATTAAACAACTCATGTTTTATTCAGTTCAAATAGATGACACTATTGACATAACTCAAAAAACTCAGTGTTTTATCATATTAAGGTTTGTTAATAAAAATTCAGAACTCGTTGAGCGTTTTCTTAGTTTCCATAATGTTAGTGATGATCATACAGCTGAAGAATTGTTTAACTTGATAATTTCTATTTTAAATGAATTTGACATTGAGAAAAAGTTAGTTGGCTAATGTTACGAAGGTTCAAGTGATATGGCAGGAAATTTGATAGGAATACAAACTAGAGTAAAAAATTTTGCACCCAATGCAATATTTACACATTGTTTAGCGCATCGATTAAACTTGGTACTGCAAAATGGATGTAATATGAATTCAAAATGTCGTATTTTTTTTGTAAATTTAACTGACATATCAGCTTATTTCCATAGTTCTACTTCACTCATTAACGTCATTGATTCTGTTGTAGGAAAACGCATTCCACAATTTGGTCAAACAAGATGGTCTTCGCGTTCAAACATTTTGAATTTATTATTCAATGAGTGGCTTAACTTTATAACTGTTTTTGAAACTATTATTATTGATCGAAAATCATCTGCAGAATCTATTTGTGGTAGCATTTAAAAAATTTACTTTTTTAACTTTGCTTTTATAGCACACATTTTCAATGATATATTTTTAATCACTAAGCACTTATTTAATACTTAACAATGCAAATCCTTCGATATAGAATATTGTCTTAGAAAAATAAAAATAACATGTGATCTCATAAAACAAAAGAGGAGTGAAGAATATTTTTTAAACTATTTTAATACAGCCGTTGAATTAACAAAACATACACAGCAAGACAAAATTCTAAAAATGAACTAAGTTTTAAAATATTATTTTATGAAATAATAGATAATAACGGTTGAGAGAATTTTTTCTTGCCTTAAAAGAATTAAAACATACCTGAGAATAGTACTTGCTAACAACGTTTAAGCTTATTATCAACAATATCAATTAAAAAATTATTAATACAAAAATTTAAAGAAATCAAACTTATAAATAATAATAAACTAATAAATAAAGAATAATAAATAAATAAAAACTAATAAACTTATAAATCAATTTATGATGATGTCCTAAATATGTATGCTAGTCAAAAAGACAGAGTTATTGAACTAATATATAAAACATAATATTATTTTCATTTATTAAACAATATCTATATAGCTCTGTTATTTTTATTACAAAAACTTTTCTAGTCAGTAAAGAAACTGATTATTAAATATTTTATCTATAGGATTAATGTATTATTTATAATTTGAAACAAAAAAGTAACCTGTTTCATTTATTTTACTTATTGCATTTTATTAATTGAATTTTATTAACTAAAAATATTTAAATTGAATGTTTAGATTTATAGAATCATTTTTTTAAATTATTATTAACTTGTTATTTTATTAATTTG